GACTGAAGCAGGTCTAAAGCAGGTCCAAAGCAGGTCTTAAGCAGGACTGAAGCAGGTCTAAAGCAGGTCCACCCCATTAAGCCTAAAGAGTCAGATAGTGACTTACAGGGTTCTTTTCTTTCTTAGGGTCAGATGAAGACAGCATGTTGCGGTCTAAGACTATGTTGGACAAACTACATGATGGAAACAACCATGAAGAGATTCCACTTCCTGTTCTTCTGTTAAGAACAGGGGTCAAATACTAACGACAAAAGAAACATATTCAAGAGAAAATATATAATGCTCAAAGTTCTTTTGTGTTAGAGTTCTTAGTAACGTACCTCAGGTTAAAAAAATGTGTTATTTATGAGACTAAAGCTACAGACCCTAGCTTTAAACGGGTTTTATTTATAATACTAAAGTTACAAACCCTAGCTTTAAACATGTGTCATTTACGAGACTAAAGTTACGCTTTAGTTACCAGGGTTATCTTTGTTTTTATACGTATACTTAAGTTCATTTAAGACGAGTACTTTTGTAATTTTGATGTATAAATTAGGTTTTATATATTTTAAATCCGTGCTTGTAGTCCTCAGAGACTCGCCGCCATGTTTGTAGTCCGAGACGCGCTAGCTTCTGTGACGCTGCTGCCCCATTCTGTACTAAACCTCCACGTTTCTGTGCAAATCGCGGACAATATGAAGAAAGACGTAAACAACCAGTGATTCGGCGTTTGTTACAAACACGAAGAAGACTTTAAACCTAAAGATGGAGGCGGGAGAAGGTGAGAAGTGCTTCATGTTAGCTTTGCGGCTAACGTTGACAGCGTTGTTATTATTATCACATTTCACATGTTTACGGCGAAATTACTGCATTCAGAGGATCCATGTAAGGCTATAGTCCCACTGCTTACATACACAGGCTGTTCTTCAGCACAGAGCCCTTGGGAATATATTTATAAATATAGATATATAAAAAAGCTGTTTCTCATAGCGTGACTAATATTTGAATGAATAGACTATATTGCTATGAGTCGATATTTCGTAATTTCGAATGCAGTTTTGTCAGACAAGGCTTTTTAATGGGTGGAATACAAGACGAATGCACTGATTGTTGCTGCTTTATTATTATTATATTGTGGGTATAACTGGAGCAGATGACATTGTACAAAGGGTTGTACAATATCTGTATAGAACCAGTCGTACACAAGTTGCAAATGACTAATGTCCATTAATGTTAATAGAAGTCCTTAAATGTCCTGGATCATCACCACTGTACCCACTGACCACTGTCCTCCCGGATCTACAAGGAACAACTCTTAAAAACCCAGTGAGAGAAAAGTGAGAAACCTCGGGGAGGCCCACATTATTTATTATAAACGCAGACTGAGGCCGCAGATCCTGGACTGAGGCCGCAGATCCTGGACTGAGGCTGCAGATCCTGGACTGAGGTTGCAGGACTGAGGCTGCAGGACTGAGGCTGCAGATCCAGAACTGAGGTTGTAGATCCTGGACTGAGGTTGCAGATATCTGGACTGAGGCTGCAGATCCTGGACTGAGGCTGCAGATCCTGGACTGAGGCTGCAGGACTGAGGCTGCAGGAATGAGGCTGCAGGAATGAGGCTGCAGGAATGAGGCTGCAGGAATGAGGCTGCAGATCCTGGACTGAGGCTGTGGGCTGCAGAGAGAGGGTGCAGCCCACAAATCCTGGGAAGACAGTCCAAATGAGAAAATGAAGGACTTCAATTTCAGTGGTCCCATCATTACGACATGAAACGGACAATGGAACAGTGAGTGAATGGCAATGAACAGACTACAGCTGAAGTCATAAAGATGAAAAGAGGAGAGGGTAGTGCTGTTTCCATAATCTACTAGCAGGAAGCTCCATCTGCAGCGTCACTGACAATCTTTGTGTTTAGACTTAACGTTGTATTTCTAAGTATTCCCTGAGTCTTGCCTATCTAACCATGTGCTGAAGTGAAGACTGTTTTAAGCCAGACCTTGATTGTAGAGACTGTCTGCTTCCTGGACGTGGATGAGGGGCTGATTCCACATTAGGAGTTTGGCGCTGGAGCTGCTTCCAACTGCACTTTTTGGCTGTTTAGGACCCAGTAGAAGTTTTGCAGTGTGAGAGTTTGGAGTCTTGGAGTTAGGAGGAGCCATACCATTTGAGCCTTTGTCTGATAAACTCGTGAGAAAATACAGAGTTCTATTAGTGTCGTCTGAAAGTGTCAGACCCCAGCTTTAACCCATACCCCTCCCTGCAGCAGGCGGCAGCAGCAGCTCTATGGTCACTGAGGACATGAACGGCTCTGGACTCATGGACTTCCTGGACGAGCCGTTTCCCGACGTTGCTAAGTACGAAGACTTTCACACCATCGACTGGTTACGAGAGAAGAGCCGTGATACAGACCGTCACCGCAAGGTCAGACCCCCCCCCTCGGTTCCCCCTCCCTGGGTGAGGGTGCGCTGTTCCAAACTCACAGCCACAACCTGTCTGTGTGACCCTCCTCTCTCTCTCTCTCCTCCCTCCTCTATCTTCTCTTCCTCCTCCTCTCTCTCCTCCACTCTCTCCATTCTCTCCTCTGTCTCTTCTCTCTCTTCCTCCTTATCCTCCTCTCTTCCTCCTCCCCCTTTCTCTCCTCTCTCTCCTCCTCCTCCTTTCTCTTCTCCTCCTCCTCCTCTTCCTCTCTCATCAGATTACCTCCAAGAGTAAGGAGTCCCTGTGGGAGCTGATCAAGAGTCTCCTGGACGCCTGGTCTGGATGGGTTGTGATGCTGCTGATCGGACTGCTGTCAGGTCTGGACTCTGGACTTGACTTCTGTGGAGCTTAGGTCTTATTTTCTCCATGTCTGTAAAAGGAAGTGCATAAAACCTCTAGGCCATTCTCTGCTCTGCTCTGAACTCGATCAGATCTCTCTCTGGTCTCTCTCTCCGACTTCTCTCTGTGGTCTCTTTCTGGTGTAGGGGTTCCCAAAGTTGGCCGCCAACGTGCGCTTACATACTTGCAAGACCAGCCCGGGCTGATGGCAATGGACCCGGAATAAGAATTACTCAATGCTAATGTACACATCTTCTTACCTTTCAAAACCTTTATTTTTTTTGGACCAGTCTAGTTTAGCCCCCGGTGAAAGTTTGAAGGCACTCGTCAAATGAATGTGGCCCGTGCCGGCTGAGCGTTTTTTCTAGGGCTGTCGAAATGATCGGTTAACGCACGTTAACTCATTGAATGCCACAAATGTAATTTTACGGAAAGGCTTTTTTTTTTCTACATTTTGAAAGTAGACACCCTGACACACATTGTGTGTAAATTTGGGAATGATGAAATTAACTGCTTATATGAGGATCTAAAAGTCATTACATACTTTAATGTGCGTTATTTATTGTTCATTACGCAGCTTTGAGTGGTTGTCGCTTTGCCTCATAGAGTGATCCTGGTCGAAGTCAAAAAAGATATTGTGTATTCCTGCCGCTGTCAGCGGAGGAGGATCTTTTTATGTTTTTTATTTTTTATTTATTATATTCCTACAAATAAACATTTGTTTTCTAATTGTACATTCGTATTGTTGTTGCTGCTGTTGCCATAAATCTTCATATGGATCAAATTTCATCTCCAGTGTTCATTGTAAAGGAGGTATAAATATTCATATAGATTGAATTATTCCTTTTATAAAGGTTTTTGTAGCCTACCCCACGCCTATAAGATATATCTATCTTATAACTGTCCGTGGACCCAGAAATGTATGTGTCAGGACAACAAAACCCTCAAAAAATCATATGTCATAAAAGGGTCTCGATCTCCTTTTTCTAGGAAATTCACAGGGATTTTAATGAAAGTTTTCCATCTTTTGCTTAGGATATCTCAGAGGCAAAGGCTGGTAGAAACGGAAGGTTTTCACCATCTGAAAGTTCAAAGCCTCACCTTTCAAACTTTATAGCATGTGATTATGACAATATGCTGTGGCTTTGCAAATATCAGGAAAAATTGACATCATGGCCATTCTAAACCCAAGCTGTTGAAACAAGGCTGGCACTCAATGAGTTAATAATTTTTTTTCATTAATCACAATTAAAAAAAATGACGCATGTACCGAATGACCCGCACATGCATCCCATAATAACACTCAGAAGTGTTCATACAGAAAAATTGAGTGACCGCAGGGAACTTGCTGTTGTCTGCTGTGAACTCGAACGGGACTACGCATCCTTCGTGGCCGCAGCGTTCTGACCCGGGGCAGCTGTGACCGCTCTGGACAGCGGTTCCCAACATGGCAAACGGCGCCGCCGTAACGTGGTCATACTCAAGACTGTTTTGGAATTTCCCTCATCTGTAACAAACAATAGTTTTGGTCTGAGGCCAATAATGTGAATTCCATTTTATGTGGATTAATTTATATTATTTATAACAAATACAGTACTAATGTACACTGTCATTTATTTTTCCATTCAAACAACCATTTACAGAGAAATATGGCATAATTTTGCCGATAGTTCAAAATGCATTTAATTACGATTAATTAATGTTTAAGCTGTAATTAACTTGATTAAAAATTGTAATCGTTTGACAGCTCTAGTTCTTTCAAATTTTCGAGCCCCTGCGGCCATTTTGAAACTGCCCATAGGCGATGGTGGCACATCAGTTTGAACGGTGGAGTGTTACTGCCTCCGTTAATAAATACGGTCTATGGTTTCGGACCGTGAATCCTCTCTGCTCTGGTCTGAATCAGTGCAAAACCACGAACACTGTACTGCAGCAACATCTCAGGTTGAAAAAAGCAAGAAAAAAATAGAGCTACTTTGGATTTCCTGCCATTTCCAGTGCAAGTACTGTAGACGCACATTTAAAATCATGCACAGTTTAAAACAAGGAAGTGTGAAAAAGGTCTATTGTCAGAGCAGCATGGCAGCCGCATAAGGTGCACTAATTTTGGTCCATGTGTGTCGGTGTGCGTTAATGACCAGAAAGTAAGTTTAATGTGTGATTTGTTGATATATATGTGCCTGATATAGTCACTTGGAAGCTAAAGGTTTGGGCACCCATGCTCTGGTCCCTCTCTCTAGTCTTTCTCTCTGGTCTCACTGTTCTCTGGCCTCTGGTCTCACTGGTCTCTGGTCTCACTGGTCTCTGGTGTCTAGGCTCTCTTGCTGGTGTGATAGACCTTGCAGTGGACTGGATGACAGACCTGAAGGAGGGGGTGTGTCTGACAGCGTTCTGGTACAGTCATGAGCAGTGTTGCTGGACCTCCAACCAGACCACCTTCGCCGACAGAGACAAGTGTCCAGAGTGGAGGAAGTGGGCAGAGCTAATGACCGGAAGTGCCACGGTGAGTGAGGAGAGCTTTAAACAGGTGTTATTTATGACATTAAAGTTGCAGAATCCAACTTTAACCTGTCTTTCTCAGGGCGGGGGGGCGTACCTCCTGAACTACTTCCTCTACACCCTCTGGGCTCTGTTCTTCTCGTTTCTGGCCGTGTCTCTGGTTCGAGTCTTTGCTCCTTACGCCTGCGGCTCTGGGATCCCAGAGGTAAACTCTCCGATCTCTGGACTCTGTTCTTTCTGGTGTCTGGTCTCCGGTGTCACTGATGACCCTTTGTTTCTCTCAGATTAAGACCATCCTCTCTGGTTTCATAATTCGTGGATACCTGGGGAAGTGGACTCTCCTGATAAAGACTGTGACGCTGGTCCTGGCGGTGTCTTCTGGTCTGAGTCTGGGGAAAGAGGGCCCCCTGGTTCACGTCGCCTGCTGCTGCGGCAACTTGTTCTGCTCGCTTTTCTCCAAGTACAGCAAGAACGAAGGCAAACGACGAGAGGTGAGAGCATTTTTATGTGAACAGCCGACAGCAGCATGTGTTTAGGTGAACAAGAGACAGCAGCATGTGTTTAGGTGAACAGGAGACAGCAGCATGTGTTTAGGTGAACAAGAGACAGCAGCTCGTGTTTAGGTGAACAGGAGACAGCAGCATGTGTTTAGGTGAACAGGAGACAGCAGCATGTGTTTAGGTGAACAGGAGACAGCAGCATGTGTTTAGGTGAACAGGAGACAGCAGCATGTGTTTAGGTGAACAGGAGACAGCAGCATGTGTTTAAGTGAACAGGAGACAGCAGCATGTGTTTAGGTGAACAAGAGACAGCAGCTCGTGTTTAGGTGAACAGGAGACAGCAGCATGTGTTTAGGTGAACAGGAGACAGCAGCATGTGTTTAGGTGAACAGGAGACAGCAGCATGTGTTTAGGTGAACAGGAGACAGCAGCATGTGTTTAGGTGAACAGCCGACAGCAGCATGTGTTTAGGTGAACAGGAGACAGCAGCATGTGTTTAGGTGAACAGGAGACAGCAGCATGTGTTTAGGTGAACAGGAGACAGCAGCATGTGTTTAGGTGAACAAGAGACAACAGCTCGTGTTTAGGTGAACAGGAGACAGCAGCATGTGTTTAGGTGAACAAGAGACAGCAGCATGTGTTTAGGTGAACAGGAGACAGCAGCATGTGTTTAGGTGAACAGGAGACAGCAGCATGTGTTTAGGTGAACAGGAGACAGCAGCATGTGTTTAGGTGAACAAGAGACAGCAGCATGTGTTTAGGTGAACAGGAGACAGCAGCATGTGTTTAGGTGAACAGGAGACAGCAGCATGTGTTTAGGTGAACAGGAGACAGCAGCATGTGTTTGATGCAGGTCCTGTCTGCGGCTGCAGCAGCGGGTGTGTCGGTGGCCTTTGGAGCTCCAATAGGAGGCGTCCTCTTCAGCCTGGAGGAGGTAAAAACTACCCCTCTTCCCTCTCTCCTCTCTATCCTCTCTCATCTCTCTCCCCTCTTCTTTCTCTCATCTCTCTTCCCTCTCTCCTGTTCTCACTCTCAACTCTTTCCACTCTCTCCTCTTTCTTCTCTTTCCTCTCTCCCCTGTCCTCTTTCTTCTCTTTCCTCTCTCCCCTGTCCTCTCTTTCTCCTCTTTCCTCTCTCCTCTCCCTCCTCTCTCCCTTACCCCCTCTCTTCCCTCTCTCTCCCCTTTACTCTCTCCTCTCTCCTTTCTCTCCCCTCTCCTTCGTGCTAATAGATGTCCCTCCTCAGGTGAGTTACTACTTCCCGCTGAAGACCCTGTGGAGGTCTTTCTTCGCCGCGCTGGTGGCGGCGTTCACGCTGAGGGCTATAAACCCGTTTGGGAACAGCCGGCTGGTGCTGTTCTATGTAGAGTACCACACTCCCTGGTACATGGCGGAGCTGGTCCCCTTCATCCTGCTGGGGGTTTTCGGCGGCCTGTGGGGGGCGTTCTTCATCCGAGCCAACATCGCATGGTGCCGGCGCCGCAAGACCACACTGCTGGGGAAGTACCCGGTCATAGAGGTACGTCTCCCACGTCACTCCCAGGGCACTCTTTCGTTATTTTTATGTTTCTTATTTTTTTGTTTCTTATTTTTTTGAGTTTTTATAGTTTATACAGAAGAAAATACAGACGATGTAGAGAACAGGGAGTTATTGTGAAATACACTAAGATGTATATATATGTATTTGGTCAATGTACCCTTTGAGGACAATGACAGAGCTCAAAAGTTATTCACAAGAAAACCCACTGTTGTTGGTCTTTTCCTCCATAAAGATCTCCTCTAGAGCGGTGATGTTTTGAGACTGTCACTCTGTTGACGGCACGGGCGGCACGGTGGCTGAGTGGATAGCACTCTCGCCTCTCAGCAAGAAGGTCCTGGGTTCGAATCCCGGCCGGACCAGGGCCTTTCTGAGTGGAGTTTGCATGTTCTCCCCGTGTCTGCGTAGGTTTCCTCCGGGTACTCCGGTTTCCCCTACCACTAAAAATATGTACAATAGGTCTGGCATGCGCCTCCTGTTCGGCGACCCCGCTCCCATCTCTGTGTGGAGTGAGAGGACAAGTGCCCAAAAAATAACAATTGTAAACCGCTTTGTGACTCTGGTCTGTGAAAGGCGGTATATAAATAAAGCTTACTTACTTACTTACTGTTGTTTTGTTATTTACCGTTTTAATGTTATTGTTCTGCCTTATTGACTGAGCCAGCGGTTCTAGATTTAGGGCAACCAGCAGTGTTGTGCGTGAACGAGTTCAAAAGAATGCGTTCATTGAACAAGCTCATTTTTTCGTACTTAAACGTGAATCAGTTCACATTATGTGTCATGAAAGGCAGACATCACTGTAAAAGAACGTTGGAATTTGTTTTCCATTGAAAACTGAGTTACATTTGTTTTCTCTTTTGAAACGCAACAAGTGAAAGTTCCTCCCTCCTATACATAGTTCCCACATGACGTCACTACATACGGGGATTTGCCGACCCGGCGCCATTTGTCTTGGCATTCTGTGGGCAAAACAATAGAAAAAGAAGCTGAAACGTGTTAATGTCGTGATAAAGTTGAAAATGGTAATCTCCTGCTGGGTCAATGGATGTTCAAATCGTGCCGGAGGTTCCGTTAAACTTGGATTTTACAGTATACCCATCATTAGACTTCATGAATGTGAGAAGACTAAGCTTTTGTCAGAACAACGACGGAGGTTATGGCTTGCGAAGATAAACAGGCAAGAAACTCCCTCAAAACACGCAAGAATATGCTCGGAGCACTTTGTGTCAGGTGCGTATCGTATCTCATAATGTGTTGACAGACGTAATTTACTCAGTACTAACTTGTGTATGCTGATACCTGGTAACTTGAGAGTTTCATTATTTAGCGTTAGATTACTTTATTATGAGGAGGATCGGTGTCGCGTCCGAGGCTCTCGAGGGCAACGTAAATGTATTAAATAGATAATAATAGTTCTATGGTGGGCTAAAACAATTTTCACAAACAGCATTGCTTCTGTAAAAAGATCTGTGTCATAAAATAAACTGCTCTTTACGCCTGGAAAAATCAGTTGCCCACCATTCACCAAAACATACGGTCAAAAACGCGGAAATAAACAATAACAGCAATCCAGAGTGTCCGTGTGGCATTAGCATTAATTAAATTAATTGTTAATATAATTAAAATAATTAAATGGAGCTCCAACTGGTATTAAATCTAAAGTTTTTGAGAAATGTTTGCATTGCTTGTTAATTTTTGCTGCATAATTTGATCAAATATGTAAAACATGTCCGTAGCACGTTAAACTGTGGTGCCATTGTATTAATATACAATTATTTGCTCAAAAGTTGCCCTTTTTTTCCAATTTGCGTTTGAATATCTAAATTTATTCTCATTCTTCTGTTTAATGGAATGCACAAACACAGCAGCGTGCCATCAAAGATGGCGTCTCCGAGGAGGTCATGTGACATTCATTGGTCTGTGGGAACTATGTATATTCTCCGCACTTTTTCCGGCAAAAACTAAAGATTCCCACGGTTTCCACCGTCTGTGAACACACCCCGACTCCGTTTTGCGGTGCAGCGCTGTATGCTGGGCGACAGTAGCTCAGCTGGTAGAGAATTGGTCTTTGAGCCAAAATGTTGTGGGTTCGAGCCCGACTTTCACCATCGACTCCCACTGTCTGCTGTCGTTGTGTCCTTGGCAAGACACTTAACCTCTGGGAACACCAGAGGGGCAGCTGTGGCTGTAAAGTGCCAAACTGCCGTTGTGTCCTTAGGCAAGACACTTTACCCCCATTGCCTAGAATGAGTCTGGTGTGTGTGTGAATGGTTGGTGGTGATCGGAGGGGCTGATGGCACATACTGGTTGCCTCGCTTCTGTCAGTGTGCCCCAGGGCAGCTGTGGCTACAGTAATAGTTTATCACCACCGTGTATGGAGTGAATAATGACATGTAAAGCGTCTTTGAGTGTCCAAAAAAGCGCTATATAAAACTTATTATTACTATTATTATTATTATTATAATGCTAGTGCTGTTCACTGACAGCACTAGCATTAGCACTACTGTAGCAGGGTGCCCAAAGCCCCCACTGAAAGATCAAGGCTATGCTCACACTCAGAGAGCAGCCGTCCTCCTGTGGACTCACCACCTGCAGAGGGTCAGTGAGGGACTGGTGCTATGAGACTTGGGTGGCATCTCTGACTGCCACCCCCCTGACCCAGAAATGGATTAAAGGGTGTAGGGTCTACCCCTTGTAGTAAAGTGTAGTACTTATTTTTTTATTTTTGCTGCTACTGGAGTGACTCCAGTAGCAGCAAAAATAAAAAAATAAATTGATCATCTGAATTTCTCTTTCAGGGATCAATAAAGTATCTATCCAACAAGAGTGGGGACCATGCGCAGCCCTGTTTATGTCCTCTTTGCAGTACAAAGCTGTTAACTTTGATTCTTGCAGTCGGCATGAAGCAATTTGCGGCCTATTTCTCGGCCCATGATTCAAGGCTTGATCCGATTCATGCTCCACTACGCCATCATGTGGACAAAAAAGTATATACAACAGTCTTAAATGCTTACAATGAATGGTGGGGTCTGATAATAATATTGATATTTACGGTCTATGGTCTAAACATGTTGTGTTCGAATTGATGCTTCATGAAAAATTAACTATTTGAGGCTTTCAGTCAATTGTGTTGATACAACAAATATATTGCATCCAAAGCGGTGCAGTTTTACAAAAAAGAGTTTGAGGAAAAACTCCTATGAGGTGGATTAATTAAACACAAAAAAAACATTTATTTCCCAGTAATTAAATAAATTTACCCAGCAAATACAAAACTTTCTTTGTCTCAAACGGGATTCGAACCAACTATCTTCGACAATTGAGTCAAATGTTTACAGACTACGCTACCCATTTAATATACAACTGGTATTCCAAGCCTGGATATTTGAATCTGGGGTTTTACTAAAGTGAGATGTTTTTAATAGTATTTCATATGAAGTAGATTGGCTATACTTAGTACAGGACTGCTCCACATCACGCACACACACGTACGCACACACACACGTACGCACACACACAATCGCACACACACAAAGGCACACAGAGACAGACGGAAACACCTGTCGAAGCGATGCACTCTCCGAACTATATGAAGCGCCTCGGTGAACCGTCACGTTGTTCGGCCGCTACACGAGGCTTCGACCGTCACCACATACGTCACCAACACACGTCACCAACACACGCCTCGACCCACGCTTTAAAAAAAAACGTCCCTTGATTACTCAGTACATGCTTTGAAGACTCGGCACGCTCAGCACACCACTAGTATAGAGTACCTTCACTGTTTCAATAATAATATTATTATTAGGACCCTATAAAGGAAGTCCTAATTAAGTAAAATGCCTTCTCTGTGTCAATACTCATCAGCGCCGCTTCAGTTTTATTCGTTTGGATATGATCTATAACATGAAGGGTTCTGCGCACATTGTCTTAAAGTAAATATTCTATAATCAAATGTAAAGAACTGATATTGGCCTATCTGATCCGCACTCTGTTTTATCATTTCCTTCTGTGATCAAAGCCTCCTTCCAGCTCGAGGCAGTTTCTTCTTTTTTAAAACCCAGTAAGAATCAGGAAGTAATTTAATCTGGAAGTAATTTAGGCATCAGTTAATTCTTCAGATGCTTATACCGTTCTGCAGTGTATCCATCTATCTTTAAGTTCCCCATCTGAAATATCTGCAATCATCTGTTCATTCTGGTCCTCGTTCAAAGAGGGCAGGTCCAGAGAGGAAGACCTTTTCCTCCAGGGACTTTAGAGTAAAATGTTTTATAGAATGCTTTGTGAATGTCACACAGTTCATCTTCAGCGTTTTAGTGATTGGATCTTTCATTTTGGACTCTGCAGACATTACAATCTTCTATTTTTAATTTCCAAGCTCAAACTTAGTCAAACGACGAGGGTGGTTTGTTAAATGCACAAATTGTGTATGTATTTCTTTGGCTCACTCTGTAGGGGGCGCTTATGCTGCAATTTCATGTTTTTCACTTTTAGCTGACTGAGACCCCAGAGTTGAACAACTGATTGACGTTTGGTGTTTATTCGACTGTCTGAGAATTTCAAATAGGCTCCCATTAATCAAAGTTGGGTTAAAAAAAAGTCCAGTATTTCCTCTCTGCAACTTTAACACTATTTAAACGATCATAATTCTGCACGTGTTTAGATGATCTTGAATGATTTTGAGACAATTCTGTAAGAAAAACATGGCTGGTTTGTTTCATAACGATATGTTTTCCCTCCCAAGTATGATGATATGATAATGCATTGGTTTTATGTAACGCATTTTGGACACTCAAAGATGCTTCACATGTCATTCATTAACTCAATACACGGTGGTGATAAACTACTTCTATAGCCATAGCTGCCCTGGGGCACACTGACAGAAACGAGGCAACCAGTCTATGCCATTGGCCCCTCGACCCGCCACCAACTTTCCCACACACATTAGACTCACACCTTTGGCTCACTCTGTTTTTCACTCTGTCTACAGAGTGAAATACGGGAGTTTCTGTATTTCTGTTTCTGTCCGCATGTGCAGTTCCTCTGTCTCTTCAGTTTTTGGTCTCCTTCTGTCTTTGGGTACTGGTCTCCTGCTTCTCTTCTCAGGTCCTGGTGGTCACTGGTGTCTCTGGTGTCACTAGTGTCTCTGGTCTCCTCCTCTCCCCAGGTTCTGGTGGTCACTGGTGTCACTGCTCTCTTGGCCTATCCAAACCCATACACTCGTAGATCCACGTCTCAGCTGATCTCAGAGCTGTTTAATGACTGTGGAGCTCTGGAGTCGTCTCAGCTCTGTGACTACATCACCAGCAACAGCACCAGCCGAGCTCTGGACGACATCCCAGACCGCCCAGCTGGTCCTGGGGTCTACTCCGCCCTTTGGCAACTCACTCTGGCCCTGGTATTTAAGATCCTCATCACCATCTTCACCTTCGGCATGAAGGTAAGGAAGAGGACCAGAGACCTGAGAGAGACTCTGGTCTCTCTCTGGTCTCGCTCTGGTCCTGCTCTGGTCTCTTGTGTCTGGTACATTGTGCTCTCTCTCTCTCTCCTCAGATCCCCTCTGGTCTCTTCATTCCATCCATGGCGGTGGGAGCGATTGCTGGTCGTATCGTGGGTATTGCGGTGGAGCAGATGGCGTACCATCATCACGACTGGATCATCTTCAGAAGTTGGTGTCGACCAGGAGCAGACTGTGTGACACCTGGTCTCTACGCCATGGTGGGAGCAGCCGCCTGCCTGGGTGAGGACTGTGGGGCTGTCTACTGTATCTCTGTTGGTTTCTGTCCTCCAGGGGGCGTGACCAGGATGGCAGTCTCTCTCTCTGTCCTCCAGGGGGCGTGACCAGGATGGCAGTCTCTCTCTCTGTCCTCCAGGGGGCGTGGCCAGGATGACAGTCTCTCTCTCTGTCCTCCAGGGGGCGTGACCAGGATGGCAGTCTCTCTCTCTATCCTCCAGGGGGCGTGACCAGGATGACAGGCTCTCTCTCTGTCCTCCAGGGGGCGTGACCAGGATGACAGACTCTCTCTCTGTCCTCCAGGGGGCGTGACCAGGATGACAGACTCTCTCTCTGTCCTCCAGGGGGCGTGACCAGGATGACAGACTCTCTCTCTGTCCTCCAGGGGGCGTGACCAGGATGACAGACTCTCTCTCTGTCCTCCAGGGGGCGTGACCAGGATGACAGTCTCTCTCTCTCCTGTCTGACAGTCTCTCTCTCTGTCCTCCAGGGGGCGTGACCAGAATGACTGTCTCTCTCGTGGTCATTATGTTCGAGCTGACTGGAGGTCTGGAGTATATTGTTCCGTTGATGGCGGCGGCGGTGACCTCGAAATGGGTGGCAGACGCCTTCGGGAAAGAGGGAATCTACGAGTCTCACATCCAACTGAACGGATACCCTTATCTGGACATCAGGGACGAGTTCACACACAGGTACAAGTTCACACACAGGTACAAGTTCACACACAGGTACAAGTTCACACACAGGTACCAGTTCACACACAGGTACCAGTTCACTCACAGGTACCAGTTCACTCACAGGTACCAGTTCACTCACAGGTACCAGTTCACTCACAGGTACCAGTTCACTCACAGGTACCAGTTCACTCACTCACACACAGGCTCTCAGTGACATTAATACCTTTACTCCCTCCTCAGGACCCTGGCTGCAGACGTGATGCGCCCCCGCAGGTCGGACCCCCCTCTGGGCCTCCTCACTCAGGACAGCACCTCAGTGGAGGAGGTGGAGGCTCTGATCAAAGACACAGACTTCAACGGGTTTCCTGTCGTCGTGTCTCGAGAGTCTGAGAGGCTCATCGGCTTTGTGCAGAGACGGGACCTCACTCTGGCTATAAGTATGGAGCTGCTTTAGACCTGCTTTAGTCCTGCTTTAGTCCTGCTTTAGTCCTGCTTTAGTCCTGCTTTAGTCCTGCTTTAGACCTGCTTTAGACCTGCTTTAGTCCTGCTTTAGACCTGCTTTAGTCCTGCTTTAGTCCTGCTTTAGACCTGCTTTAGTCCTGCTTTAGTCCTGCTTTAGTCCTGCTTTAGACCTGCTTTAGTCCTGCTTTAGTCCTGCTTTAGTCCTGCTTTAGACCTGCTTTAGACCTGCTTTAGTCCTGCTTTAGTCCTGCTTTAGTCCTGCTTTAGTCCTGCTTTAGTCCTGCTTTAGACCTGCTTTAGACCTGCTTTAGTCCTGCTTTAGTCCTGCTTTAGTCCTGCTTTAGTCCTGCTTTAGTCCTGCTTTAGTCCTGCTTTAGTCCTGCTTTAGTCCTGCTTTAGACCTGCTTTAGCCCTGCTTTAGTCCTGCTTTAGTCCTGCTTTAGTCCTGCTTTAGTCCTGCTTTAGACCTGCATTAGACGTGCTTTAGACGTGCTTTAGACGTGCTTTAGACCTGATTTAGACCTGATTATACCTGCTTTAGACCTGCTTGAGACCTGCTTTAGGGTTTGTCTCAATTCTGAGGGCACTTGCCTCAACAGAAAAGTGCCCTCCTAGAGCGGAGTGCACTCGTTAATATTCTACCTTCCTTCTCCCATGGATCTAGGGGACACCCCTCTGTTTGCAAAACTCAGCAAACGTCGCACACAACATTGACGTGTCCAATTTCACTACACATAAGAAAGACTTTATGGAACAAAGTATTCATTAAAGTGAGACGTTTGTAATTCATTTCATATGAAGAAGATTAGCTATAATTAGACACAAGACTGCTCCATTTCACGCACACACACATACGCACACACAGACAGACACAGCCGCAGATCACAGAGCTCCTGTCAGAGTGATAAGCAGGGCTTAAAGTTTTCCGGCACCGTGCCGGAAATCCGGCGTGAGAAAAAAAAAAAAAAAAAAATCACTTTATTTATATATATATTAAAAAAAAAAAAAATGATTGCTGTCATTTGAAAAAGGTTCAAGTGTGTTCTACCAATTGTATGAAAGGATTGCATGTGTATAGCGCAGGGATTAAAGAGTTCCGTCTAAGTGACGGATTTCCGTCAAATGAAATTGGTCTGAAAAAAAAACAAAATATATAATAATATAATACACACAATGAAATGGTTAATTATAACAAAATATATAGTAATACGTGTGAATCTGTTGTATATATCTAGATATATATTAATAATTTGAATATAATTGTATTTATATGTATATAGAAATAAAAAGTAATCACGAGTGGGCCTTGAACGTGCCGTGGCTAGCTACATGAGCGCTCCGTAAATGATTCAAGGCAATGGGACGTAGCCAAGTTAGCGATGGTAACACGGAGGTGAAAGTTTTTGAAAAGTGCACGGAGCTTTTGAAAAGGAGAAGAGGACAAGGAAAATGTAATCCCGAACGGAGCAATAACAGCCAGCAGCCCGCGGACCGGTAAACTGGGCGCGTTATCAGAGGAAAGGTAGGACATAATTAACGTTTACCAAACGCAATGCTTTTTTATTTAACGGAATTTACAATATGTACTTTGCTGTGACTGGGAATGGGGACAAGCATGTCTTGGTGAGCTTTTGATAATATCTTGGTGGCGATCCCCATGCAAAACTGCGTGATAAAAAGAGCCAATCAACGAGAGCGAACGGAAGAAACTCGCTGAAGAAAGGTGTGTGTTAGCAGGTCTTATATTCATTCATCAAAGCTAGCCTAGCATTCACGCACAATCACAATCATGGATCGTTGTTTATGGAAGAAGGAGCAGTATAAGTTGCTGTTGATAACGGAGTGAAAAATAAATGGAGGTGGGCATGGCTGGATGAGGTGGAGACGATGGGATTCTGTTGCTTCATGGTGCAAAAAGATGAAGGTGTCCGGTGCTTGTTCGTACTTCGCTATTATTATTTTTTTATATGGGAGTAATGAGAAAACAAATCAAACAGCTTTGGATTCACCACCAGCTCAAAACTGCGCACTTGGCAGCTGTCCGTGCACTTTCCCACACTTCTTTACCTGGTGCATCAGATTCAGCGACAACTGAGACTAGGCTTGCTCTGGTGGACTGTGTCTGTGACCTAAAACTATCTGTGGCTTTATCGCAGAAAATAACCTGTCGTTCAGAACCATCACTACCGCTGGTAGATTTAATTATCATTAATCATTTGCAGTTGATAAAACTGCGCTGTGCACTAGCACCAAGTTGATAGGGAAACCTTTTTCTTAAACATTGAGTGTCCACAAACAAATGTGGACAGAATTTTGAATGTCCTTTTTAACATGTTGGGCGGAGGGTTTAATGAGGAGGCTACTTTGTCTGAACAATTAAATAGAGGGAAAAAACCGCATGGTCCAGAGGAGGAGGCAGCTGGTCCAGAGGAGGAATCAGCTGGTGCAGAGGAGAGTTGTCTGGCTGGTCCAGAGGAGGAGGCAGCTGGTGCAGAGGAGAGTTGTCTGGCTGGTCCAGAGGAGGAGGCAGCTGGTGCAGAGGAGAGTTGTCTGGCTGGTCCAGAGGAGGAGGCAGCTGGTGCAGAGGAGGAGGCAGCTGGTGCAGAGGAGAGTTGTCTGGCTGGTCCAGAGGAGGAGGCAGCTGGTGCAGAGGAGAGTTGTCTGGCTGGTCCAGAGGAGATGATAAAAAGGCTGCAGCCCCACCGCACCAGCCAGACAACTCTCCTCTGCACCAGCTGCCTCCTTCTCTGGACCAGCCAGACAACTCTCCTCTGCACCAGCTGCTTCCTCCTCTGGACCATGCGGTTTTTTCCCTCTATTTAATTGTTCAGACAAAGTAGCCTCCTCATTAAACCCTCCGCCCAACATGTTAAAAAGAAAGCATACAGATAATTCACACCCTAAACAAAAGAAAAAGAAATGAATATTTCAAACAGTACTGTTAGCATTTGTGTTGTTTTGTAATGTTTTACCAAATCAAAGTCTATTGAAAGTTAACACAGGTGCTTTATGAAGACACACAGCACAAAGCTCATTTGCACTTTAGTTTCATTTATTTGTGTTGAAAGCTAAATGTTTAATAAGTAGAATTTAAAAGTTAAGGTTTATTTATATATTTAAGGTTGAATCTGGAAGTGTTCTTGTTGCCTGATCCAGTGTTTTTAGTTTTTGTATGTCATATCTGATGTCTAGTTTGGATGTTTAATCAGTTTACAGTTTACACATAAAATGTTAGTAATAACATCAATAATAATTAAAAAAAAGAAAATAGTATATTCACTTACTGTGATGTGGTATGTTTTTTTTTTTTTTTTTACATTATCACACAAATCCAAACTAGGGGTACTTGCAGAAAGGTCTTGGCAAGGTGAGGCTTTACATTTAAGTAACAATTCAATAGTCAGATGATGTATTTATTGCCAACAACTGATGTTTATAATAAACATCAGTTGTTGGCAATAAATAGATATAAATTATATGTATGAGCGTATAAAGGCGCTTATAAAAAACGCTTATTAGTGATCATTCTATGATTCATATAGATGGTTCAGGCTCAGGAATTTTTTCAACTTTAACCCATGGATAAGCTACATCATGGATCTATAATAATAACATGGATCCACGTCTCCTTATTAGCCTCAGTGAACGGCACACGCTGCAGCTGCTTCTTGAGAGATCGTCACCACACACGGCACCAACACACGCTTAAAAAAAACCTCTAAATGACTCGCACACGCTTCGAAGTTTCCACACGTTCACCACATACTGTACTTGCACACGGGTGTTTCATGTTGTTTTCTTGAATTGTGGCGCGGCTTTGCCCGACAGCTACCTATCCTAATGCATCATGGGATCACCCTTGGCTGCAAGTGAGCTCCGGAGCTCTCCAGAGCAAAATCGAGGGCAAGGGTTCAAATTAAGGGCTAGGATGAGAATTGGGATGGGGCTTTAGTCCACCTTTATACCTGCCTTAGACCTTCAAGTGTCCCTCTTGTCCTTCAGAAAGCGCCCGTCAGAAGCAGGATGGTGTGGTCAGCAGTTCTGTGGTTTACTTCACGGAGGACGCTCCGATCCTCGCGCCGTCAAACCCTCAACCTCTGAAGCTGAGGCGCATCCTCAACCTCAGCCCCTTCACCGTCACAGACCACACCCCCATGGAGACCGTGGTGGACATCTTCAGGAAGCTGGGCCTGAGGCAGTGCCTGGTCACCAGGAGCGGGTAGGACCTTAGAGACCTTAGAGACCTTAGAGCTAGGGTATGTAACTTTATTCCAAGGGAAGGCGCTGTTTTAAATATATGTACAATTCTTATTATCCACAGAATCATGTGTCCAACAGAAAAAAAATTGAAGTTATAGACATCACCTTTAAAAAATAAATTCTGCTGATCGCCAACTTTCTGTTCCAGGCGTCTGTTGGGAATCATCACCAAGAAGGACGTTCTCCGACACATGGCCCAGATGATGAACCAGGACCCAGAGTCTATCATGTTCAACTGAGACCCGAGAGAGACCCGAGAGACCCGAGAGAGACCCGAGAGAGACCCGATATTCACAAACTAACATCCGTTGCCAATTTTTAACATCTGAACTTGAAAAGCAGAAACATCTTAAACAGATGGATCTATATGAAGGGACCAGACGGTGATGTCACATGTTGCGATCAATAAGCACTTTTAATTTTGTCACCATCTGTTTTTGAAATGTAGAAATTCTGCCAAAATGAAGTTGGATACAAGATACAAGAATTTAAACTTAGAGCTAAATACTGCAACATTCAGCTTCTGTTACTGTTTTATTCCTGTTTGACTTTAAAACCTGTTTCTGATGTATTTATGTCTGATGTAAATACTGCGTGTTGTAAACGTCCACTATTTAAGTACGATGCACTTTGAATAAAAGAAACATGTTCATCACCAGAACCACAGACTGGACCTGGCAAGACTCGCTCACTGTGGGAGAACGTGGCAGAAAAGTGGGGTCTGAACCAAAGTCTTAAAGCTGAGGTAAGGGGGTATTATTAGAAGTAATAAATATTCAGTTTTATAACTTTTAATATTCACTCCTTCTACATAAAACATGATCCTGTGATTATTCCTCTGTACTTTCAGATAATTAGAGAATCATCAAACTGAAATAAGTTTATTTGTATAGCACAATTCATACACAAGGCAACTCAAAGTGATGAACAAAACAAGATAGCATTAAAATCATAAATAATCTCAGTACATTAAAAAAAGATAAAAATTCCTCCGTTGTACAGTATGCTCGGCTAAAGAAATCTGTTAGCCTGGATTAAAACATTGTCAGAGAAGAAGCCTGTCTCACATTTTCAGGAAGATTGTACGAGATTTTAGCAGCATGAATCTGAAAAGCAGCCTCCCCATGTTTAGTTCTGACTCTGGGCACTAACAGGAGTCCAGTCCCTGTGCTCCTCAGAGTCCGGGCTGGTTCATATGGGACTAACATGTCACTAATATATTTTGGTGCGAGGCCATGGAGAGACTTGTACACAAGCAAAGCTGTTTTAAAGTCTATTGTCTGAGCCACAGGAAGCCAGTGCAGAGACCTGAGAACTGGACTAATGTGGTCGTACTTCCTGGTTTTTTGTTTTTTGAATGCAAAGTAACAATGCAAGTCTTCATCTTTAGGGTTAAAGTGAGTCGTCTTTATTTATCAACCAAGGTCATCCTCATTGTTTGAGAGTCTTCATCCTCAGTGTTTGAGAGTCTTCGTCCTCAGTGTTTGAGAGTCTTCGTCCTCAGTGTTTGAGAGTCTTCGTCCTCAGTGTTTGAGGTTCGAGGCCTTCTCCAGATCTCCATAATACTCTAGAGCTCTCCTCACTGGATCCAGGATGTGCAGCTGCAGGGAACAGGAACATCTGGGAATAAAGTACAGCTCTAACCTCTAACCTGCCCCCCACCTCACCCCCCTCTCACCTCCAGACACGGGAACAGTTTGGTGAGTTCGGTGAAAAGTGGTAAAAGCACAAATGTGATGAAGTTAGTTTGAGATGAAGGTTTGGAAACTTTATCTCTGTCCATGAACGGAGTCACAGGTAATCCACGAGACTTCTCTGTGTCGCTCTGGTACCGGGAGAGAGAGACCAGAGATCAGAGAGAGAGAGACCAGAGAGAGAGAGACCAGCGAGTGTGTTGGACCTGGTTGAAGAACTCCTGCAGCAGACAGTCGAGCCATGGTTCTGCCACTGACACCGGTCTCGCCTCATTAGATATGTCTGACACCTTCACCAGGATCTTCATCAGCTGCAGGAGGAGGAGAGAGGAGTGAAAAGAGGAAGAGGAGAGAGAAGGAGGAGGAGTCAGTACCACTTCTTTGTGCTCCTTGTTGCTGAAGTCAAACGTTGGTTGAAAGGATTTGAACTTATTGAGGATCTCATTGTGACGAGCCATATCTGTGGCCAGGATACACCTGCAGCAGAGAAACTATCAGAGAGAGACCAGAGAGACCAGAAAGTGACGTTTTAGTCTCACTTGATCATCCCAGAGCGGATCTGTTTGTATTGATCTGATGTCACGTTCTTCAGGATGTTACAGGCGGGCTGAGAAACAGACCAGAGGAGAATTAGGTCTAAAGCAGGTCTAAAACAGGTCTATAGATGGACTAAAGCAGAACCAATGCAGGTCTAAGGAAGATCTAAAACAGGTCCAACCTTGGACAGGATGCTGAAGGCAACAGCACAGTGATGGTTTTCTAAAGGTGAGATGTCGTTGTATCGGAGCGCCAGGTCTGTCTGAGCGTTTATCTGAAAGAGAACAGAGTCTGTTCTGGTCCAGTCCTGGTCCAGTCCAGTCCTGGTCCTGGGTTCACCTGGTACACGTTGTTGTATCCTGGATGGTCCAGGTCATGGCAAAGAGCTGAGGTGATCATGATCAGGAGGTCAGTCCTGCTCAGTTTGGTCCTGAGCTCCGTGATCCAGATCAGTCCATACATCTGAGGAGGACAGAAGAAAGAGGACAGAGGAGAGAGAGGACAAGATACTTGGTACTGGTAAATGTACTTGTACCATCTGGGTGACGCAGAAGCAGTGGCTGAAGTTGTGGAAGGGGATGGAGTTGTAGTGACGATGGACCTCCAGCAGGAAGTTCTGCAGGATACTGGTCTCCATCTGGAACTCTGACACGAAGCCCAGGTCCTCAAACATGGTCTGAAGGAGGACCAGCATCTCCGAGTCCTCCCATTGCCTGAACCAGAGAGACCAAAGGGACCACGGGGAGACCAGAGAGAGACCAGAGAGAGACCAGAGAGAGACCAGAGAGAGACCAGAGAGAGACCAGAGAGAGACCAGAGAGAGACCAGAGAGAGACCAGAGAGAGACCAGAGAGAGACCAGAGAGAGACCAGAGAGAGACCAGAGAGAGACCAGAGAGAGACCAGAGAGAGACCAGAGAGAGACCAGAGAGAGACCAGAGAGAGACCAGAGAGAGACCAGAGAGAGACCAGAGAGAGACCAGAGAGAGAGACCAGAGAGAGAGACCAGAGAGAGAGACCAGAGAGAGACCAGAGAGAGACCAGAGAGAGACCAGAGAGAGACCAGAGAGAGACCAGAGGGAGAAAAACCGGTGGGTGAGAGACCAGAGAGAGACCAGAGAGAGACCAGAGAGAGACCAGAGAGAGACCAGAGAGAGACCAGAGAGAGACCAGAGAGAGACCAGAGAGAGACCAGAGAGAGACCAGAGAGAGACCAGAGAGAGACCAGAGGGAGAAACCGGTGGGTGAGAGACCAGAGAGAGACCAGAGAGAGACCAGAGAGAGACCAGAGAGAGACCAGAGAGAGACCAGAGAGAGACCAGAGAGAGACCAGAGAGAGACCAGAGAGAGACCAGAGAGAGACCAGAGAGAGACCAGAGAGAGACCAGAGAGAGACCAGAGAGAGACCAGAGAGAGAGACCAGAGAGAGAGACCAGAGAGAGACCAGAGAGAGACCAGAGAGAGACCAGAGAGAGACCAGAGAGAGAGACCAGAGAGAGAGACCAGAGAGAGACCAGAGAGAGACCAGAGAGAGACCAGAGAGAGAGACCAGAGAGAGAGACCAGAGAGAGACCAGAGAGAGAGACCAGAGAGAGACCAGAGAGAGACCAGAGAGAGACCAGAGAGAGACCAGAGAGAGACCAGAGGGAGAAACCGGTGGGTGAGAGACCAGAGAGAGACCAGAGAGAGACCAGAGAGAGACCAGAGAGAGACCAGAGAGAGACCAGAGAGAGACCAGAGAGAGACCAGAGAGAGACCAGAGAGAGAGACCAGAGAGAGAGACCAGAGAGAGAGACCAGAGAGAGAGACCAGAGAGAGAGACCAGAGAGAGACCAGAGAGAGACCAGAGAGAGACCAGAGAGAGACCAGAGAGAGACCAGAGAGAGACCAGAGAGAGACCAGAGGGAGAAACCGGTGGGTGAGAGACCAGAGAGAGACCAGAGAGAGACCAGAGAGAGACCAGAGAGAGACCAGAGAGAGACCAGAGAGAGACCAGAGAGAGACCAGAGAGAGACCAGAGAGAGACCAGAGAGAGAGACCAGAGAGAGAGACCAGAGAGAGACCAGAGAGAGACCAGAGAGAGACCAGAGAGAGACCAGAGAGAGACCAGAGAGAGACCAGAGAGAGACCAGAGAGAGACCAGAGAGAGACCAGAGAGAGACCAGAGAGAGACCAGAGGGAGAAACCAGAGAGAGACCAGAGGGAGAGACCAGAGGGAGAGACCGGTGGGTGAGAGACCAGACAGAGAGCAGAGGGACTCACCAGTTGTCGAACACTGGTGTCTTCAGATGCTCTCTGACCTCCTCACTGACCTGTAGAGAGCTGCAGACACACAGTTGTTTGAACTGGACTCTGACACAGAAACAAGCTGCTGTCTCCAACCTCATGTTGAGAAACCTGGTGCGCAGCTTCTGCCTCTCCACACTCGCAGGGGTCGCATGTGCGCTCACAGGGGTCGTGTGTGAGCTCACAGGGGTCGCGTGCGCCGTCGTTAGTCTCGGCCCAGTTTTATGAATGAACTTCTCTGTGTTGTCTCTGAACAAACCCATCCAGCTCAAGTGCTCCACACTCTGCACACAGGGGAAGTAGCAGCAGCAACAGTATTAGTAGTAGAAGTACCAGTATTAGTACTTGTACTTGTACCTGTAGCTTCCTCTTGAAGTCCTCCACTTCCTGGTCTAACTCGTGCAGAAGTTCTGGACTCCGGTTCAGCTCCATCACTCGCGTCTCCAGCTGTTGCACACGTGTCTCCATGGCGACCAGCTGCGTCGGCATGGCCACCCCTGCAACATCTGCACCTGCGGTCACATGACGTCACAGTCACATAATGTCACACAGTCTCATGAATCCAGCTGCAGCCTGTTGGGGGAGCTCTTACATGACTCTAGCTGCAGCCTGTAGGGGGTGCTCTTACATGACTCTAGCTGCAGCCTGTAGGGGGAGCTCTTTAATGAGTCTAGCTGCAGCCTGTAGGGGGAGCTCTTACATGACTCTAGCTGCAGCCTGTAGGGGGAGCTCTTTAATGAGTCTAGCTGCAGCCTGTAGGGGGAGCTCTTACATGACTCTAGCTGCAGCCTGTAGGGGGAGCCCTTTCATGAGTCTAGCT